CATCCCTTAACCCTAAACCCTAGACATGAGGTCTTTGATGGCTTCACTAACTTCATGATCATCCCAAAGCTTGGCGAGCAACTGCGGCCCTCTTTGGATCGATTTGAGCGACGATGCGGAGGTCAGCTGCAAAGACGTGCAGAAGACAAGTTGCTGGGTTTGCCGTTGAGGAACTTAGATGAAGTTACCATACTGAGTCTATATGGCAACTAACAGGGTTTCCCAATATAAGAACTTAAACTCAGTTCCTAAACCCTAAGCCCGATATATCCTTATATACCCATATACAATTACCCCCCCCCCCTCCCCCCGCACATATTTCGCCATAGTATAGTAAACCCTGAACCCTAAACCCTAAACCCTAATTAAATCCTTAACAGCAACCGAGGTTGGCTAATGTATCTTCTTTTCATGACCTGGCCAAGGACCCTTGGCTGCCTTTAGGGTTTAGGGTTTAGGGTTGAAGGTTTAGAAGGAACGGAAAAGAACATGGAGACCACTATAATGGGTTATATGGGGACTACTTTGAGGATCCATTCCTTCATTCCTAGCTAGGGTTCTTGTTCAACAACATCTTACATGCTTATGTATACCTGGGCCCAATATAGATCAAACATGATGATTTTCAGCTAAACCCTAAACCCTAAACCCCAAGATAGCCTACACCCCCAACCCAGTGGGTCCTACCGTCAGCTAAGGCCAGTCAAGAGATCTTCTACCTGCACTCGTTCCTGGGTTACAGCAGGGAGCCACTGCAACTGGGTTGCTGTTGAGGAGCTGAGGTTTAGGGTTCAGGGTTCAGGGTTAGGGGTCTAGGGTTTAGGGCTCGGGGTTTAGGGTTAAGGGTCTGAGGTCTAGGGTTCAGGGTTTAGGGTTTAGGTACCATGATATGGGCCATCATCTAAACTCTTCGAGGGGCTTACATAGGGGAGTTTTCTGGGAGTTATTAAGGGGGAAAATGGGAGTTAAGACTCTAGCTCATTTAGGCTCCAGTTTAGGGTTTAGAGTTTAGGGTTTAGGGTTTAGGGTTTAGGGTACATAGTAAACACTGGGCTTTCATTATTGCAGTAACTTAATTTAGGTTCCTTAACGGCACCAAGGCAGGGCAAGATGATGGATGCCTGCCGCAAACTTGCCTCATCCCTGGACGAGGATGCTGGGATACTCATGAGAAGAAGGGTTTAGGGTTTTTGGGGTTTAGGGTTTAGGGTATAACTTGCTTAATGAGTATGGGCCAGAATCCATATATAGTCACTATACTATATAATGCCTACATGATCCACATTTTTGCCCCTACGTAATCCCTAAGTCACTCCTCTGAAGCCTAAGCCCTACACCCTTACCCTTTCAAGTTTTGTTGGGCCCCTAGACTAGATCTATCCCAGGACGGCAAGGAGCTTGAGGAGGTCCTGGCTACAGTGTCTTACCGGGGGTTAGTAGGGAATATAGGGTTTAGAGTTAAGGGTCAGCAGGGAATATGGGAATATGTGATATAGGGATTGTATAGGGATTCTATCCCCTGATTCCCAAAACCCTAAACCCTGCACCACCAGCAAGGTGTATGGCACAAAGCTATTCGTCAACTACGGTCATGGTTGGCACTTCAGCTGGTCTCATGAGAATGCCAGCCATGCAATCATGGAGTTCGAAGACCTTGTGATCCACCTCTTTGACAGGTCCGTTTCCGGACTTAATCTGATGGAATGCTTGGGAGGCTTTGGCTGGAGGCTGCCAGACATCTACGCTGACTTCATGTTAGCCCTCAGAACAAAAATACGACCATACCCTGATCCCCAGCAGATGAAACCGAAAGTGTTGCATCGCGCCATGTACTTTGTCACTCACCTTGTCTACTTCTTCACAGGCGGGGTGTTTCCGAAACTATCCCCTGTGTAATCTCTAATCTCCCTAATAGGGACCGCACATTCCTCTTAATCCTCGCATATTCCTGAAGTACACATAAACGTTTACATTCCCCTGCGAAGACTCCCGATGGGTACTGCACCCCCGCCCTCCTAAACCTTAAGCCCTGAACCGTAAACCCCAAGCCCTATAAGCCCTAAACCCTAATCCCCTAACCCCAATCCCTAAACCCTAAGGCCTATAGGCTCAAACCCGTAGACCTAGACCTTAACCCCATTTTTGTGGGACAGTGTGAGGTTTTGGTCTGGAACCCCTTTCGGGGAATGCCCGCTCGAAGCTGGGGCCCGAACTCCGCTTCTTGAAGGCAGGCTTACCGCCTTGCCGATACATGGTTTTAGGGTTAGGGTTTAGGGTTTAGGTGTAGGTTGGGTCCTGCCCCCACCCAGTAACAGCCTACAATTGGGGTAATATTAAGGGCTATATATAACTAGAATATAAATATTATCCAACGGTTGCTGGGCGGGCGCAGAACCTAAGGTTTAGGGTTTGGGTTTGGGTTTAGGGTGTTTGGGTTTAGGGTATATGGGTTTGGGTTTTAAGGTTTAGGGTCTAGCTTGAGGGTTATATGGTATAGGACAATCTTATTGTTTTTCAAATGGCTCTATAGGGGTTATATACAATCTTACGGGATTACTTGGAGATAAATAGGGGTTATATATATATATACATATGGATATACAGAGGCAGGTTGACGGTGTAGGGCTCCTGGGGTTTAGTGTGGTGTGTGTGTGTGTGTGTGTGCGTGTGTGTGTGTGCGTGTGTGCGTGTGTGCGTGTGTGCGCGTGTGTGCGCGGGTGTGTGTGTGTGTGTGTGTGTGTGTGTGTCACCCTCTGTACCAAAGAGTTTGAAACTAGTCTTTGATTCCACATGTTGCAGGGGGC